ATAACTCTACCACTGAGCCACCTTCCTAGCCCCTGTCTTTGATTAATTCATCAGTTGCTCCAGCTTTTCTAATTCTCCAAAGTTGTACTTTGTATCTCAACTATGACATTTGTCACTGACAGCCACTGCCTTTAGATGTGGATGGGGAAGTCAGACTTAATTGTCCTTGAAGAGAAGGGCACAACTGCTTAAGGATTCACTCAAGTAAATAGTCTTTTTGGGGTGGGGGGGGGAATGGTACTGGTCCTAAGGCTTGAGTTCAAGACTTGGACACTATTTCTGAGCTATTGTGCTCAAGGCTAGTGTTCCATCACCTGTGCCACAGCTCCATTTCCAGCTTTTTGCTGGTTAATTGGAGGTAAGAGTCTCATGGACTTTCCTCCCTGGGCTGGCTTGAATTGCCATCCTCAGATCTCAGTGTCCTGAGTTGCTGGGATTACAGGCATGAGCTACCAGCACCCACCTATGTTTTCTGTCTTGTTATCTTGCTGTAACTAAATAATTCATCAAGAGTTATAGAAAACATCTTCTCGGGGCTGGGAAGGTAGCTCAGTGGTAGAGCACTTGCCTTGCATACTCGAGGCCCTGGGTTCGATTCCTTAGCACCACATAAGAAAAAAGCCGGAAGTGGCGCTGTGGCTCAAGTGGTAGAGCACTAGCCTTGAGCTGAAGAGCTGAGGGTCAGCGCCCAGGCCCAGAGTTCAGGCCCCACAACTGGACCCAAAAAAAAAAGAAAAAGAAAAGAAAACATCTTCTCCGGGCTGGGAAGTTGGCTCAGTGGTAGAGCGCTTGCCTTGCATGCATGAGGCCCTGGATTCGATTCCTCAGCACTGCATAAGCAGAAAAAAAAAGCCAGAAGTGACGCTGTGGCTCAAGTGGTAGAGTGCTAGCCTTGAGCTGAAGAGCTGAGGGACAGCACCCAGCAGGCCCCACGACCGGACCAAAAAAAAAAAAAGAAAACATCTCGGGCTGGGAAGGTGGCTTAGTGGTAAAGTGTTTGACTAGCATGCATGAAGCCCTGGGTTCAATTCCTCAGTACCACAAAAGCTGGAAGTGAAATTGTGGCTCAAGTGGTAGAGTGCTAGCTTTGAGCAAAAGAATCTCAGAGAACCGTGGCCAGGCCGACTTCAAGCCCCAGGACTGGCAAAAAGTGAGAGAGAAAGAGAGAAGAAAAAGAGAAATAAAAAGAAAACATCTTCTTGAGCTGGCTGCAGTATTATATACCTGTAGTTCTAGGTACTTGGGAAGATGAACCAAGAATTCAACACCAGTCTAGGCAACAAAACAAGATTTGTCTCAAAGAAGAAAAGAAGGAAAAATCTACTTTGTGTGATGTTTCTTTTTTATCACTACTTTGCTATTTTATGCTATAAACTCACAACTCTTGTGGAAAGAAATCAAAAAAGAATTTATTGGGCAATAAAAATAGAGAAAAACATGATATTCCACATAAACCGGTCAACTGGTCCAACAATCATCAGGGGCTTCCACTTACCAAATCACAACAATAACTGTTTTTAAGCATTATATATTTCCTTTACTATAGTAACAGAGTTCATTCTACTAAGAAGCCATGTGATTTTAGCCATGTATTATCATTGCCATTCTGATTAAGCATATTACTATACTGCTAATAACATGCATTGAGTTCAGCTGTTGGCTATACCTGTTGAAGTGAAGGACAATTTCCAATTAGCCACACAAATTTGGATAGGAAGGGTATGAAATAAGGACACAAATAATCCTCATACTTTAATTGAAAGGCTTTCTACTTTCCCTAATAAAGCTTGTGTGTGTGTGTGTGTGTGTGTGTGTGCTAGTATTAGGGCTTGAACTCAGAGTTTCACCCTCTTACTTGGCTTTTACAGTCAGGTTAGCCTATACCACCGCTTGAGACATACCTCCACTCTACCACTAGAGTCACAGCTGTAATTCTGGCTTTTTACTGATTAATTAGAGGTGAGTCTCTCAGATTTATCTGCTCAGGCTGGCTTTGAACCAAGATCCTCAGATCTCAGCCTCTTGAACCTGACTTTAGGTCGTTTTCATATCCACCATGTAGATGTAGAATGACCAACTTCATGTCTCGCACTACACCTTTCTCAGTAATACATTCCTACAGCCTCCTCTAGCACACTACCTCTGTGGGGGTGAGGGGTAAGTCAGAGAATGCAATATAAACCAGCCTAAAGAGATTTGAATCTTTCAACCAATATAAAATAGAAGAATGGTGGAGAGATGGGTAGATCTACAGACACTAAAGAAAAGGTAGTTTATTTTTTAGAATGAAGGAATTCAACTTTTCCCTGCATTGTTAGAGTAGCCTTCTATCTTCTATGACCTTCTAAAGTATATTCTGGTATCTACAGGAAATTAAGTTTCATTTTTTTGTTATTGTGCTGATCCTGGGGCTTGGACTCAGGGCCTGGGCACTGTCCCTGAGAATTTTTGCTCAAGGCTAGCACTACCATGAGCCACAACTACATTTATGGCTTTTTTGTTGGTTAATTGGAGATAAAGAGTCACATAGACTGTCCTGTCCAGGTTGGCTTCAAACTGCAATCCCCAAGATCTCAGCCTTCTGAGTAGCAAAGCTGGTATAAGCTGCAAGCACCCAGTCTTAAGTTAAACCTTAATCCTACATTGTGATTTCAGTGATATGTATGTTTCGATGGAGACAAAATTACTATCTTGCTAAAGAACTGCATAATACTTCCCATTGATTTATTCATTATACTCTACCCCATTATGTTTCTGATATGAAAATATTTTGCTTATGAGCATAACCTTAAATTTACTATCTTTTTTTTTTTTTTTGGGTCCGGTCATGGGGCCTGAACTCTGGGTCTGGGCGCTGTCCCTCAGCTCTTCAGCTCAAGGCTAGTGCTCTACCACCTGAGCCACAGCACCACTTCCAACTTTTTTCTTTTTGCTTATGTGGTGCTGAGGAATTGAACCCAGGGCCTCATGCATGCAAGGCTAGCGCTCTACCACTGAGCCACCTTCCCAGCCCATAACCTTAAATTTAAAAAGGAAGTTTTTTAATGATTAAAAAAGACAAAGAGACTAGGCACCAGTGACTCATGCCTAGAATCCTAGCCATTTAGGAGGTTGAGATCGGAGGTTTGTAGCTTAAAGTCAGCCTGGGAAGAAAATCCTTGTGAGACTCATTTCCAATTAAGCAGCAAAAAGCCAGAAGTGGAGCTATGGCTCAAGTAGTAGAGTGCCCACTTTGAGTAGAACAAGTCAAATAAAAGCTTGAGGCCCTTAGTTCATGCTTTAATTCCAGTGTACACATACATACAAATGACAATGTATAAAATAACATGTATACTAAAAACATATACATATAAATTTTTCTTATATGACTTAATAGCAACAAAATTACCCACCAGTGTGGGCAGAAGTGTTACACTGCCATCCTTTTCAGTTTAAACTTTCTTAAATGAACTCATGAAGCCTACATTGTTGCAATGGTTGTTCTGTACAGTATGCTGTCTCTGAAAGCAAGATTCTCTATGTCTATCGGCCCTGACTTATAGCCTGGGCATCTCTCAGTTCTAACAGCAGTCCCGTCTCTAACTTTATGCTGCTTCTAGAAGGGAACCCCTGTTTGCAAAATGCAAAGAGAAAGGAGAGGAGTGATTTCAGAATAGCAGAACTTCTCTGATGAAATAAAATACTTCCCTTTTGCTGCATTCTTTTTTATTTTTCAATTGCATTTAGAGTATGGCAGTGGACCATGGAAAGCTTGTAAGAACCCTGAACCGCACCCAAGCACTGGGAAAGAATCTAGCTTCTGGCTGAGTGGTAGAAAAACAGGAGCAGGCTAGGAAGGGGATGCTCTTGCCTTCAGCAAGTCTAGAACCTGGGAAGAGAACAAGCTAGGGCCACAAGGCTACAGGAAGGGCTCAGCACTCCTGCTTCAACATTGGGATTGACCCCACCCAGGGCATCATACCACACATGCCCTGTTGGCCAAGTAAGGAAAGAGAGATACCACAAGTGAGAAGATCTTGGTAACTAAGGACTGCCAAGTCAGTTCTAGTCATCTTGAATGTCAGTTTGGATGGCTTGCAGGGAGATTTACCTCCATTCAGAAACAACAGGGAAACAGCTACATACAATTTCTATTTCTAAGAAGAATTTTTTAGCAGATGCTTCCTGTCACATGATTGTAAGTCTATCACACAGTGGAATTTCATTTCTACTTGAAAGACTCAATTTCTTATTAATTAGCTCTCCTAAATATTGATAACATTAAAACAAAATCCATGCTTATCTCAACAATGCTACTTTACTCAGGAAAATAAGTATTGCTTACTCTCCTGAACTTCTTTGCCAAAAAAAAAAAACCCCAACAAGACTGGGATGGGGAGGGAAGCAGAATTATTTTTTATTTTAACAAAACAACAGTCTAATACTAGAAAATTAGTGACAGGCAAACATTTCTTAACTTTATTCAGCAGGAACAGAAGGAAAAGAGAAATGTTTGCTTTCTCAGTGGCTGCATTTTCAAATATCACAAATGTTACTTATATCCTTTGGCTCTTAAAACAACAACAACAACAAAAATCAGAGGTGGGTGGATGGAGAGGAGATGGGAAGGGATGCGAAGGGGAAACAAAGGAGGAGGCAACAATGCTTGATAAGTAATGTACTCATTACCTTGCCCATGGAATTGTAACCCCTCTGTATGCTATTTTCTCTCTCTCTCTCTCTCTCTCTCTCTCTCTCTCTCACACACACACACACACACACACACACAAATCAGACAAATTTGCATTGTTTTAACCCAGAGGAAGTCTCCTAGAAAAGCTAGAAGCCAAAAGTTGTTCCTATTTTAGTCTTGAAAGTGAAAAGTACAAGGAGAGGTTTATTGTTCCTAACTTTAAAGTAAAACCAAACTTTTGCCACTTCTATCTCGGGATGCAGCGGTATGCAGCGAGTCACACAGTCTGCAAATAACATAAGATCTGCCAGAAAATGAAACTACTTACCTTCGTAAGAGGACATGACTCCACACACACTGAAAACCAGCCTGCTCTGGCTTAATGAGAAAACATCTGACTTTACCCAGTTCCAGTTCATACGATCAAAGCCTCCATCCAGGCTTTAAAAACATTGGGGTGACAAGAGATCCACCGATCAGCCAGGAGCTCTGGTCAGTGCATGGTGTGTGTGTGGACTTCAGTGAATTCTGAACAACTGCTGAACAACTCCAGAGACAACCCCATGCACAGTATGCCACACCTCCCCAGAGGATGGGCTTCTGCCCTGTGCTCAGAGACCAAGTCTGCGAAGATGGAGAGATGTCTATTTATTGCAGCAAAATAAACAACAATGAAGACGCATGGACCCATTGAGTGCACTAGAAATACAGCTGGGAACAGGATAGTTTATACACTGACTAATGCCTGAGCTATTAGTAATCTTCTAAAAAAGTTAACATGAAAAATACTTTGTTCCCCTTTAACTGGATGCCTGCCTAGACAAAAGATGTCACAGAGTCTAAAGCTTAAGAACTAACATCTCAGTTCCAATTACCTCAAATGGTATTTGGCTACTTCTGACTTTCCTTTTTACCATAATTAATTGATTGTGGAGAATAAACAGGTCAGGATAAATAAATACCATACATCAACTGTCTAAGGAAACCAAGCAGTGTGTGTGTATATGTGTGTTTGTATGTGAAACTTGCATTGTCCCTAAGCATTTTCTCTTAAGGTTACCACTCTACCATTTGAGCCACAGCTCTACTTCTGGCTTTTCTGGTGGTTAATTAGAGATAAGAGTCTCATGGACTCTCCTGCCTAGGCTGGCTTCAAACTACAATCCTCAGATCTCAGCCTCCTGAGTAGCTAGGATTACAGATGTGAGCCACCAGCACCTGTCAGAAACCATGCTTTCATATAGCATATTAGAATATTAACTGGTAAGATATTTATTTCTTACTTTATTAAGTGACTTATAAAATCATTAAAATTTCATATAATTAGATCAGGATTTTACATTTTTCTTAAAGCCCTGAACAATGAGGAAATGTCAGAATTAAAATATTGATGAAATCACAGTGATAAATATAGCTCTGAGGACCCATTCCTAATCAGAGGGCCCAGTACAGCATCTCTCAGTCTAAGGTACACCAGGCTCACCCAGACACATGGGGGTAGAATGGCTGGGTCCCGTCTCCCGTCTCCAAATTCATATTCAATGGGTATGCAGGGGACCACACAATGCGCTTCTAATAGGTTTCCAAGTGATGGTGATGCCACTGCTGGTCTGGACCTAAGCTTCAGGAACCAACAAAACTGCTGGGGCAGACTGCCTGTTCTCATTTGAAAGTGCATGCTCACTTCCATAGGAATGCATGGCTGAGAGGAGATGGCAGGAGTTCCTTCTTCACTTCAACACAAATATATATTTGCAAGGGACTCTTACCAACTTATGCCTGCTCATCAGAAAATGTGCTTCATCCATCATCTTTTAATAAATTTGGGTGCAGGAGCTGGGAATGAGGCTTAGAGCCCTTGTCTTCTAGCATGTATAAGGCCCTGGGTTCAATCTCTAGATCCAAAAAAAAAAGTTTCCATATAAAGCATGAGTATGGGATGAGAAGGTGGCTCAGTGGTAGAGCGCTTGCCTTGCATGCATGAGGCCCTGGGTTCGATTCCTCAGCACACCACATAAGCAGAAAAAAAAAGCTGGAAGTGGCCCTGTGGCTCAAGTAGTACAGTGCTAGCCTTGAGCTAAAGAGCTGAGGGACAGCACCCAGGCCCAGAGTTCAGGCCCACAACTGGACCCAAAAAATAAAAAATAATAAAGAAAGAAAGAATGAGTACATTTTACAACTCATCTGAAAAAATAAAAAAACTAGATCCTAAAGAAAAGAACTCAAAGAAGCCAGGTGCTGGTCACTCACACCTATAATCCTAGCAACTGTGGAAGTTAAGGTCTGAGTTCAAAGCCAGCATAGCCAGAAAGTTCATAAGATTCTTATCTCCAATTAATCACCAAAAGCTGAAAGTGGAGCTATGGCTCCAGTGGTAGAGCACCATCCTTGAGAGAAAATGCCAGTGTAAGCACAAGGCACTGAATTCAAGTGTCAGTACTAGTATGAGCACAAGCATACATACATGTACCCACACATCTCAAAGAAATCTAAGGTTTTCTTTTATTTCCTTGACAAACTCTACTGGTATTTGTTTACCTTTTTCCATGGCAGGGAAGTGTTTAGATTTCATTCCAAGAACACTTAAGAGTTTGAACAAATTTCAGTAATGTAAAAACCAGAAAGTTCCTTGTCACAAAAACTGCCCAGATGTCTGTGCTTCTGAGAGCAATGTTTAAACTAAAGCCTCAGGTTTGGTACTCAAACAAATTCTTTCCCTCCCTCCCTCCCTCCCTTCCTTTTTGTCTTTCTCTTTCCTTCCTTCTTTCTTCCTTCCTTCCTTTCTCTCTCTCTCTCTATTCTTTCCTTCTTTCTCTCTGTTCTCTTTCTTTTCTTCTTTTCTTTCTATAGCTAACCTTTACTTTGTGCCCAGTTTTACATTAAACAGATTCCTTGCAGCTTGTTATTAAACCTAAACTGTGAGATAATAAGTTATTACTAGCACTCTACCTCTTGAGCCACAGCTCCACTTACAGCTTGGGGTTTTTTTGTTTTGTTTTGTTTGTAGTTAACTGGAGATAAGAGTCTTAAAGACTTTCTTGCCCAAGCTGGCTTCAAACCACAATCCTAAGATCTCAGCCTCCTGAGTAGCTAGGATTACAGGTATGACCCACCAGCACCTGGCTAGTTATTACTATCTAATAGGAAAAAAACACTCTATAAGTAATTATATTTTATCTCTAATTTGCTGAGGAGAAAAACTAGGCTTAAGACAATGAATGGTACTTTTTTTATATAGATGAAAGCTAAAAAATCAAAATATAGTGTTAAAATGAACTCAGGTTAGAGTTCAGTGGTAAAGCACATTGTGTTTAGCATACCTGAGGTGCTAGGTTCAAGCTGCAATATACACACACACACACACACACACACACACACACACACACACACACACACACACACACCACAAATATAACATGGTGAACAGTCAATTGTCTACAAGTAAATAATGTGCAATTATATGTAGCAACTACCACAAACAAAATAATAACTTCTAGAGCCAGGTGCCAGTAGGTCAGGCCTGTAATCCTAGCTACTCAGGAAGCTGAAAGTTTTACAATCACAGTTCAAAGCCAGCCAGCGTAGAAAAGTCCATCAGACTCTGTTTTCCAAAATAACAAGCAAAAACCAAATTGGAGTCATAGCTCAAGTGGTAGAGCACACTACCCAAGCAAGCTGAGCAAGCACAAGGCCCTGAATTTAAACCCTACTCCCAAATAAATAAACAAAGAAACAAATAGATAAAAAAAAAAAACATCTAGGGGCTTGGAATATGGCTTAGTGGTAGAGTGTTTGCTTAGCATGCATGAAGCTCTGGGTTCAATTCCTCAGTACCCCATAAACAGAAAAAGCCAGAAGTGGTACTGTGGCTCAAGTGGTAGAATGCTAGCTTTGAGCACAAAGAGGCTCAAGGACAGTGCCTAGGTCCTGAGTTCAAGCCCCAAGACAGGCAAACAAACAAAACAAAACAAACAACATCTAAGCTGCTAAACATTGGCCTCAGATGTTTCTCACATAATATAGCACTTACAGCAACCAAAAATCCTAGGTACTTAACCCGAGTAAAATGAACACTGACCCACAAAAACCTGAACCTCAGTGTTCACAGAAGTTTTGTTCAAAAACCAGCAAACAGGCCAGGTACCAGTGCCTCCCACCTGTACCTAGCTACTCAAGAGGTTGAGATATAAGGATCACAGTTTGAAATCAGCCCAGGCAGGAAAGTCCCTGAGACTCTTATCTCCAGTTAATCACCAAAAAGCCAGAAGTGGAACTGTGTGTGGCTCAAGTGGTAGAGTGCTACAGCACTGAGCAAAAAGTAGTCCAGGGACAGCACCAAGACCCAGAGTTCAAGGCCCAAGATCAGCAAGCGCGCGTGTGCGCCCATGCACACACACACACACACACACACACACAAACACCAAACACTGGAAACATGCACTTAGGTTTCAACTACTAAATGCACAAACAACTCAGTTCTAGAGTATCTCTACATTGACCTACCACCCAATAAGGAATGACTGAGATGGGATGTGTGGCTCAGGTGGTAGTGCTAAGCCAATGAGTGAAAGTGTCAGATTCTTAGTTTGAGTTCCAGCTCAGGGAGGACATTGCCATAGCCATTAGAAAGAAGCCAACTTAAAAGGCTCCATTAGATATGATTCCATATGACATTGTGGAAAAGGCAAACTCCTAGTGATTGATCCAGTCCATGGTGCCAGGGGCTGTAGCAGGGGAAAGGGCAGACCATGAAAGGTTGTAACAAAATTGTGAAAAACAAAACTGCTGTGTACCCTCACTGCAGTGGTGGTTACAGGATTATGTGCATGTGGTAACACTCAGGATTGGCCCATGATTTACAGTTTGTGAATTAGCTATCATTTCTCAAAAAGAAGAAAAGGGTAGGAATAAGATCTATTTATTCTATTAAAAAAGTAAGCAGGGGCTGGGAAGGTGGCTCAGTGGTAGAGCGCTTGCCTTGAGCTGAAGAGCTGAGGGACTGCGCCCAGGCCCAGAGTCCAGGCCCCACGACTGGACCCAAAAAGACAAAAAACAAAAAAAAATGTGGCTAAGCCTGGAAGATCATAAGCTTGAGAGCAGACTGGGCTACATAGTGAGACTGTTTCAAGAAAAACAAAACAAAGTAAAAGGTGAGGAGACTGCTGGTTTATCTTGGAGTATGAACTCAAAGCTAAATGAGCTCTAGTAGCAGCATTGCCCTGAACATCTTCAGTTGTAAAGATGATCTTTGGTTAATTTTATTCATAGTCTATAAGTTAATAAATCTTGGCAACTGGATGGCTGGCATTCACATTTGTAATCCTAGCTACTCAGAAGGCTGAGTTCTAAGAATCCTGGTCAGAAGCTACCTGGTGGAGACAAATCCAAGAGACTCTTATCTCCAAAAAGAAGAAAAAATGGAGATGTGGCACAAGTGATAAAAAGTGACAGCCTTAAGCAAAAAAAAGCTAAGCAAGAACTCACCC